CTTTCGTGCAGCTCTAAGATGCTTTAGTTCTCAGGCTTGTAGGACTTACAACTGTTTGCAGGGTTCACGAGACTTTAAGCTTCAAAGATGTTTAAAGGCCAATTTTGGCGATTTGGCTCATGGGGGTTGTCATCCCTGAACCGTGTGGCTGCCGAGCTGAGCCGCTGGATGTTCTCACAGTCGTCCGGGTCTTGCTCCTCAGCACACGACGACAGTGCTGCCAATCGACAGCACCTTATAACGGATATTTTGTGGCTACCACGGGTGAACTCAACTCAGGCTTTTGCGGCTATACTAATCACTAGTCCCAAGTTCAGCCAGGAAACGCTGCTAAAACAGAACTCCGTGGTCACGGCCTCAAGATGGAAGGGGTAGTCGCCTCGTGCATTGCGCAGCTATGGATGGAACCTGGGACGTACGTGAACCGTTAGCCTGGTGGGCCAAAGGACAAATGCAACCCCGCAGGGTGCCGGCCTGAAAGAGTGAAGAACTGATGGCTGTAATGGTGCGGCAGGAAGTAGCCTGCAAGACCAAGACTGGGAACGGGCGTGCCTTCAAACGGGCTATCCTCCTGGAGCGGTTCACAACGGTTCACAGCACATCTAGCAACCAAGGCCCCTGAACCCAAACTCCCCCCACGAGACGAGATTCCGGGTGCCCCTTTACCCTAAACCCGAAAACCCTCTTTCAACCCGGACTTGCTGAATGTTTACCCTAAAATACTAAACCCTAAACCCTCAAGCCTTAAACCCCCTAGATGGAGACCCTAAACCTCTTTTATTCCTGGGAGGCAAGAGCGCCTTTGGACACCTCATCGACGCCGCGGCGCAGGTGGCCCAGGCCAAGGAAAACCTGCACTTTAGGGTTTGGGGCCGTTTAGGATTTAGGGTTTAGGGGGTTTAGGGTTTAGGGTTTAGGGTTTAGGGCTCTGCAAGCTTTCTCAGCTTTGAAGCATATTCCCCCTCCACCTTGACGATGATATCACTATATTGGGAGTACTTCATGTTAGGGGGAGGGGATTAGGGCTCAGCTGTGTTTCCATTTGGGCTTTGGGGGGTGTGGCACAGTGCGGGCGAGGCTTCGGGTAGGTGCGTTCTTCGGGGTGTGTAGGGGTTTCGGCTTTGGGATTTCTAGGTTAGTTTTTAAGTCAGCAATCAGCTAGGTTCAGGGTTTAGGGTTTAGGGTTTAGGGGTTCCGTCATGTTCCATTCTTCTGACTTTGCGGGCTGAGGCGGCGGATCCACGGCCTGGTTGAACAAAGCACACGAAGCACAACCTATACTGTCAAGGACGGAGCTTGTGTGACGTCTTGAGCCTTACATGCAACCCTCGTGGGAGTCAACCCGAAACCCTAAATCCTAAATCCTGAACCCCTCTTGCCTGTAGCTTCGCAATCCATACCTTGGCTCCGATGTCAGCAGCTGCCTGCTTATAACTTCCTTGTCCAGTATCTTGGGGAACTAGAGGTTGTAAAGGGAATATCATACCCCAAGAAGGTTAGGCTTTGGGGTTCAGAGGACAAGCGGGACCGGAACTCAAATCACCGCCGAAACCGCGTCGGAAGTGCGGGGCTTGGCCCATTGTGCAAGGTCGCCGGGTGTCCTCTGAGAGGGATCGACTCTGCGCTTTGAGATGTGAAGTCAGCCTAAGTTATGGGCCCTTTTAGGATCTTGTGCTGCAATCCTTTCTGCAAGTTCAAGGGAACCCAAAAGCACTCATCATGGGGTGATTGCGTCAAAGCTTGTAGATGCCTGGCGATGCATAGCGGTGCAAAAACAGCGCAGCTCACATTACCCGAAGACGCAGACTCCAGACTCACCCTTGCTACGACATTTAGAGTACACCCTTGCTACGACATTTAGAGTACTTCCTTCCTCCCAAAAGAATCTCTCTTCTTGTCTTCTGAGCAGACTGGTGAGCGAGAGCGAAGGACTATTTTGCCACTCTTTTCCTGAACCCCTTAGGAAACCACTACTTCTAAACACCCTATAATTACCAGAAACCCTCGACCAGACGGGACTGCGTTCTGATTTCCTCAGTGTAACTTTGAAAGCCATGACTTACTTGCTCTTGCGCCCTTCAGCAGCCTCCTTCTGCTGGCTTATTTGTCCACTTGCTGAACTCCAAGCTCTCCGGAGTGTCCAAATCCCATCACTGCACGCGGAAGCACCGAAGATTTGAGACGAGCATGTGCCAGGTGTGGAGTTGCTGACCGCCACCACCAGCCACCGCGAACCCAAGCAGGACAACAGAACAGCCACCCGCATTGTCACCATGAAGACCATGACCACGCCTTAAAATTTCTTACCTCAACCTGACCGTTCAGCAAGGGGTCCTCCGCGGCCGACAACGCCCTGCCACGGCTCCAGGCGCAAAGGCCAGGGCGTCGGGGCCTCGAACTGGTGCACCGGGCTTGGAGGGGGGCACAGCAAGGTTCTGAAACAGGCCTTATAAACCCTTTCGCATCTGGGCTCGCAGTGACAGCCAGAATGCAGGCTTTCCGCGTCAAGCAGCTAACCAATGAACCCTAGTTTAAACCCCGAACCCCAACAAGCCGGAAGTGTTTTAAGACCAGCGGCCGGGCGAATGCACAACGTCTGGATGGAGCCGTTCTGATTCCAACTGTTTGACTGACTGCCCTCCTCAGGAGTGCTCGAGCCCAACTACTTCTTGATATATAGATAGGTGGGGGTCTCTGAAATTAGGGGTCCCTTATTGGGGTCCGTGTTTTTAAGGGGATCCTACTATTTGGGGTGTCCATTCCGGGGGTCCTCCCATACGTACATGCATACCTTTGTGCATGTGCTCAATACCTTGCGGAGAACGTCATGCGCTGCAACCGACACACCTGCCAGACATAATGCACAGAGGCGCCACCAGGTGTTCTACTCGATCGATGTGTCCAACTACGGTGGGATAGATCCGGTCCTGAATGGAGGAGGTTTTTTTTTTAGGGTTTAAGGCTTAAGGTGCAGAACTGGAGGATGTACAGCTGTGTTGGCCAAGTTGATTTCGGCTTTGGGACTTGGCAACCCTATGGGAGCCTGGGTTAACATCGGGCTGAATTGAAGTTGAACGAACCTGGTTTGACTGGAAGATGTAAGGCAGCAGATAGAGCAACTGCAGTAGCTCTCGAAGCAAGAAGCTCTAGGGGAATGACCAGACCCTCGAAGCACAAACAAAGCTTGCGATGTCATTTGTCGCGGCTCCAAGACGTAGGTAGCACCGTGCCGCTCCAATATTCCCAAGTTCTTCTTGGGGCTGTGCGGGGCGGCACAGTCCTTGCCAACGATCTGCCATGCACACTTGACAGAGAGGCAAGCGAACATCCATACCCTCGTGAACATGCCGCGCAATTAAAACCACTCGGCACAGTCAGCATGCACACGGTTTCTGAAATCACACAATGATGTCATGGTACTTTTTCTATGTACAAGCACATGCACTGGCATGCCTGAGGATTCCGTGTTTTCGTCGTGCAGCATAGAGTCCCACTTAATTAGAATGAGAATTTTGGCTACTTTCTATCGTCATGCGGCTTATGAGAGCCCCTTAACCCTAAACCCCAAGCCCTAAACCCTAAACCCCAAACCCTAAACCCTAAAACCCTAAACCCTAAACCCCAAGCCCTAAACCCTAAACCCTAAGCAGGCCTTCACTTGCTGGAGGTCGGCCATCTGCAGCTTCGCCGACAGACGGCCCAGCGAGGCCTGGTCGAGTCAACTCCCAACCCTCTTGAATCAGGTTTAGGGTTTAGGGCTTAGGGTTTAGGGCCCGGCACCCCATACGCAAGAGCCTGTCTTGCATCAACGAAGAGTTTAAAGCGTACGGGGGCTTTACTTGCATGCTCCTCGACTGCATGCTGCGCGTTCCCAAACTGCAGCATCAACACTGACAGACAACTTGTGAACCACCCAGTCGGTCAACGCTGTCCCACAGCACATACGACTCCTAGACCAAAATGTATACTCTGAACAATCCTACTAACACAAATATTCAGCATAGTCCTACTTATGGTAATCTTACGCTTACGAACCATATTACTCCCCACATCCTACTAATAAAAAAATTCTGAATAACCCTGCTACTGAAGGCATTCTTCATAATCCTACTCGTAGTAATCTTGTACTCTGGATTCGGATACAACAGAAGCAGCTCGGACAGCCTCCACATGGAGGGGCGCCAAGATCACGTGGGTTAGCGAGAGGAGGCAGTAGGCCATGAAACCTCTCTCGCTGCCAAGCCGACATGAACTTGGGGTTTAGGGTTTAGGGTTGGGTTTTAGGGTTTAGGGTTTAGAGTTTAGGGTTTAGGGTTTGGGGTTTAGGGTTTAGGGTTTCGGGCAACAGACCAGTACGCTTATACTTAGTGCAAAGCCCGTTTGGAAGAGAGGGGCTTGGGCCCTTGCGGGGCCATGTAGCTACCATCGGGCTGCTTCTGGCTGCCAAACATCTTCAGACAGGCAGGGGTTTTAGGGTTCAGAGGGTGTAGATAACCCTTGTGAAGCTGGACCCCTTAACCCTAAACCCCCCCCCCCCCCCGACCTCAAAACCCTAAAAACCTAAACCCTAAACCCTAAACCCTATACCCTAAACCCTAAACCCTAACCCCCCCCCCTCAAAACCCTAAAACCCTAAAACCCTAAAACCCTAAACCCTAAACCCTAAACCCTAAACCCTAAACCCTTCGGGCAAACCATCCCGAAGGGCTTCTGCCGAAGGAGCTGACGAGGATGGTACCGCTGCTATGAGCGAAGAGCCTGACATCCATCACCTTGCCGCTGGCCAAGCTTGGGTTTAGGGTTTAGGGTTTAGGGTTTAAGGGTTTAAGGGTTTAAGGGTTTAAGGGTTTAAGGGTTTAAGGGTTTAAGGGTTTAAGGGTTTAAGGGTTTAAGGGTTTAAGGGTTTAAGGGTTTAAGGGTTTAAGGGTTTAGGGCTTAGGGCTGCTTGGAGTGAAAGTTGGATCCCCTGAGTTTTCAAACCCTACAACCCTAAATCCCTCAAAACCCTCAGCCCTCCAACCCCCCCTAAACCAAACCCTACATCCCCAAAACTTCTTTGTTTTATCCCATTAAAAAAGCCGAGAAGCCCTCGAAGACCCGAAAGGATCCCTGGAGGCCTGGGAGCCTCGGTACCAGCCACCCTAAACCCTAAACCCTAAACCCTAAACCCTAAACCCTAAACCCTAAACCCTAAACCCTAAACCCTAAACCCTAAACCCTAAACCCTAAACCCTAAAAAACCTAAACTAAACCCTAAACCCTAAACCCTAAACCCTAAACCCTAAACCCTAAACCCTAAACCCTAAACCCTAAACCCTAAACCCTAAACCCTAAACCCTAACCCTAAACGCTAAGCCCTAAACCCTCAACCCTAAACTCTAAACCCTAAACCCTCACTCTGGGGAGGTGAGCGGCTGAAGCCGCCCAGGAGGCATTGTTGACCTCTATCCTGAGAAGGCGCGTGCTCCCCGCTTAAGGAGATTTTCTAGTGTCTACCCTGAGAAGGCGTGTCTCCCCAAGAAGGGGCTTGAGGACAGGGTTCCCCTTAGGGTCCTGAGAGTTTGGGGTGAGGGGGAAGGGGCTTAAGGAGAGTTCTTAAGTTCTTAAGGTTTGGGGTTGATGGGGTCCCAGTTCAGGAATTTAGACGAAGCTTCCAGAATAGGGGTAGCAATCATAAGCAAGCAACAACTCGTGTCCTCATTCTGGTGGCTTAACTTCAGTTCCTTACCGAGAGCCCGCTTGGGGGGAGGGGTTCAGAGCTTCCTTATCCTATGGTTTAAGGTGCACCTTCGACATCATACCGAGTCAGAGTCCCAAGAGTCTTCGACATCTCCACCACGTGAAAACCTGCATCCAGGACCGCCACGTAGGAGCCTTCGCAGCGGAAAAGCTGAAGCTTTGTTCAACCAATAATGGGGGTCTTACAGCCATATGGGACCCTAATATCGTCCCCCAAACTGTAGGGTTCCCTTGTAATTAAAATAAGGACCCCAATAAGGTACCCCTAATATCCTAAACAGCCTGCGAGTAACAAGCACTGCGCCTGCGCCCTCCATCGCCCCCGTAGCAGAATGTGAGAGATCAAACGTCGCTGTGCTGCCAAGGTGCCTGTGCAGTAGGTGTTTTGCATGTACTGCACGTCCCCCATGGCGTAGTCCTGCACTGTGGCTCCGGCCCTCTGGTCTTAGGGTTTAGGGTTTAGGGTTTAGGGCACTCCACCTGCAACCGAAGCCTTTTCCACCTCCTGAATTTGGAGCCGACCAGACCACGCCTGTTTGCAACCTTTTTTTGCTACCTTCTTCCAAGCTCTTGGATCCCCAGCATGCGACGCAGCAACTGAAGCTCCGGGGAGGAACAAGCCTTGAACTGGGACAAACAGCTCCCACCCACAAAAAAACAAGCCCTAAGCCCTCTGAACATACCGAGTTTGGCCAACTTTTCTCCTCCATGCCGGGGCAGCGCATCCAACCTGCTCGACCGACGGCCAGCCACTTGCCATCCTTGCAGAAGGTCGGGCAGGTAAGGGCCCCAAGTTTTAAGTATCAGGGGCTGGGAATTTTTGACCTTCGAATCAGGGAGTGCATATCTGAGGTGGAAGCTAGGATCCCAAGCACAAACAACATCTTCGGTTTCTTCATGCTCTCTTCGCGGCCCAGGGCGCTGGGAAGGCTGCAGTCAGCGCTGGCGGCAGTGGGAGCAAGGAGGGGTTCCTCGCACCGCAGGGGGGTTTAGTGTTTGCTAAGGGGGGGGGGTTCGCTTCGGCTCCGAGAAAGGCCCCAGAAGTATAGGAGCACGTTTGCGCAGGGGGAGGTTCTTGACCAAATAAACCTTCCAGTGGTGTTTTCTTTTGTGGAATTTGGGTAGTTTTCCCCAAAATAGTACGGCACCCTTATTATAAAAAGGACCCTAAACGGGACAAGGTGGAGGTCCCGGATGCCCAGACTTTTTTGCTAGGGATAGTCTTTCCCCCTGCCTACCCGATGGAGGATGCCTGGCATTGCTGCTTTATGGCCCACCTCCACAGGTTCAAGGGTTTAGGGTTTAGGGTTTGTTTACATGGCTTTACCCTGGGAGCTTAGGGGTGAAGAAGGTTTGGCACTCAAAAAAAGCAACAGAAGATTCGTTTTCGGCACCCCGCCCACCCAAGCCACTAAACTTACTAAACCTGCCATGTCTCTTGCCCGGAGACGTCCGGTTTCCGGACGCTGGCAGAGACATGTCCTTGCAAGCTGGCAGAAACGGGGCCGTGTGTTTTTGCAAAGATGACCGACTACCGTTTGATCAAGCTACATCCTCCAAAGTCAGTCGGATGCTGGCTTCGGCAAAGGCTGGACCTACGACATCGCTTGATTTCAGGCGAGGATCCAAGCGCCACTTCTGCTCGGGCTTCCACACGGCGAGGCAGGCCCCCAGACTCAATTCTGAGTCCTGGTGTTTTTTTCGCGGGTTTGATGGGGGGTGTCAAGGTTTGCAACTCAAGGTTTAGGCTTTCTTTTGAAAGGCATGCCTCATGCCATCGGCTGAAGTGATTTTGTTTTCTGCCACCCACCAAGCACACTAGCCACACTGCAGGGTCATGTTGTCAGGTTCAGGGCTTGATGTTAAGGTAGGCGCGCCTCCGCAGCCCTGGAGGTGTTCATGCGCAGAAGGCACCGGGGCGCCGGCGAGACATATGTCCTCGGCTTTGTAGGGGCTGGGCTGTGGAGCTTGGCTCGGCAGTTCGCTTAGGGTGGGTTTTTCGAAGGCAAACCCTAAACCCTAAACCCTAAACCCTAAACCCTAAACCCTAGGACCCTAAACCCTAAACCCCTAAACCCTAAACCGCTACAGGGTATCAAGGCTTCGGTTCAAGGCTTCGGTGACAAACCAGCAATGATCAGGACGCTTCAAGGCAAAGTTTGATCTTGCTGAGGGATTCGGAGCCCATTTTCAACCCTTTTGAACCCTAAACACCCTTTTTTCAAACCCGAAACCCTAAACCTTGAACCCTCAAAACTCCAACTCCGAGAGCTCCCAGCCAAGGATTATGGCATTTCGGAGGCCCGGATTCAGGGGAGAGGGGGCACTCTGCAGGGGGTACCGTATGCTGAAGGTCTCAACCCCAAGTCAACCCTCAACCGCAAACCCGAACGCCGAAACCGTCAACCCTGATTGAGCCCCAGAAGTGCAAATTCCGGTTGCTTGGCCGAAATGGGGGTTTACGAGCATAAGGGACCCCTCATATCGACCCCAAGATGACTCCCCTACAATAAGGACCCCAATAAGGCACCCCTAAGCAGCTCCGGCCTTGGCGCAGTTAATCGAAGCACCGGCTTAAGCCCTCCCAAAGCCCTCAGCCGGGTGGCTGCCTCCAAGAGCCGTTCTCCTTGTCCAGGTTCCTCGGCTTGTGGCAGAACCCTAGACCCCCACCATGGGCCCCCCAAAACCCCATAGGTTCAAACCCTAAGCCCTAAACCTTCTTACACCCGATGCGGGTTCTTTCGGACAATTCTTTAGCCTTTCAAGGCTTCGAAGTCTCGAGGCTCCATGATAACACCGACTTCCAGACTTCCAATCTGAGAATGCCGTCATGGTAAAGCATTTTCTTCAGGTTATTTGGCGTTACAAATGGGTTTTGTTAGCGTTCAGGGTTCGGGCTTATGGTCGACTCTCACTCGGGCACAAGCGAATGCTTGAACGGACGGCGCACGACCTAGTGAAAGGTCTACAAAAGCGTCACAGCTTGTGTTTGATGACGACCCTACTGCAGGCTTTTTGTGTGAAATGACAGGATATGGGCTAGAGGAGCAGTTCGGGCTCCCAGGGCTGGTTCTTGTTGCGGAGACCTTCCTATATGACAATATGGGAGTTTACGAAAATAGGGGACCCAAATAAAGATCCCCAAAATACGAGTAGTAGGATTCCCTTATCATAAGGACCCCCCATATCAAAAGGAGTCTTTTCAACAAGAATCTGGGGGCAATCCCTGGGAACACACGTGGTGGCACGGTGCAAGTCTCGGATGTATGGGTGCTGTCTACCGGGCATGCTCCGTGTGCAGCTCCAGGAACTGAGAGACATGCAAGTGCCAGTTATGTAGGGTTTACAATTTACAAGGGTTTAGGGTTTAGAGTTCTACATTATGTAGGGTTTACAAGGGTCAAGGGTTTAAGGGTTTAGGGCTCTTCACAACGTGACGTCCTTTGGGCCCCTTTCCCGAAAAGCCGGGGCGAGCAACCACATCTGGTCCGCATCGTAGCGGAACCTTGGCGAGGTGACCTGCGCGTTCAGGCAACACCCTAAACCCTAAGCCTAAACCCAACACCCTAAACTTTAAGACTCTAAGGGAAGTTCTCTAAGTTAGTGTTCTTCTTCTGGGCCCCCTTTATATATAGTACGGCGCCCTTAAAAGAGGGGACGCTAATTTAGAGGACTACCCATGAGATGCTGATGCTTGAAGGCTGGTTAGGGTCCCTGCTTTTGAGGACTTCAGGCTCCGAAATCTGGGGCTGCAGGCTAGGGATCGCAAGACGGGGGTGCATAGGGGCCCCTACTATCCCAACTAGGTGAACCCCAAACCCCCAAACCGTCTTTTGAACCCTAAGCCCTAAACCCACCCTAAACCGTAAACCGTAAACCCTAACGTGATTGAGTCTTTGAATGCACTTGATGGCCTGGCTCTTTGTCGTCCGCCCTGTCTGCAGCAATGCAGCGGACGCAGAGGCAGGCCGGCTGTCACATCCTGCCACAGAGCAGCATGCTGCGACACCACTTACCACAATAACTACTACAGGGGCCTTGATAATTCATAGGGTTGGGGGGGGGGTACAGTTAGGGAAATCATATTCGCAACTTCTCGCGAGGCTACGGTGAAGAACATACACACCGTACTGCAAGACACCGCGGCACACAGCCTCGACCACGTGCGACAGGTACTGCTGATGCAGGAAAGCTCCCTTACGCACCCCAAAACCCCCTAAACCCTTTCTGCATGCGGGCTTGGGCAGTCGAAACCTTAAACCCTAAACACAGCCCACTGCCCACTGTGCAAGGGTGCCTGTGTCAGCTCTGGCCACGGAAAGTGCAGCGAACCACGGCCAGCACCGCAGGAACATGGACCCTAAACCCTTTATGAACCATAAACCCAATAAACCGATTGTGTGTTGAGGGATTTGCCTTCTTGGAGCCTTGTTATGCCTTGATGTTGCAACGCCTGACCGGGTCCCTTCAGACTGCCGATGACTAAAAAGCTGATTTCGTGCGCCGTCATGTACAGTCGCAACAGTCCTAAGCGTCCGAAACAGTGCAAGGTGTGTGCCCTTTTTGTTTTTGTTGCTGCTGCATTTGTGGCCACATTGGCCATGTCGAGAGGGTAAGGTGGGTGGTAAGATGAGGGCCCAGGATGGGCTTCGAGCCAAAGTGACACAGGGCGGAACGGGCACCTGGCATCGGCCACTCGTAGTTCCCTACATTAGGGTTCTTTCTTGGGGGGGGGGGGGGGGGGGCATTATGCAAGGTACCGTACTATACAGGAGACCGAGAGCTATGGACCCTAAAGCCACAAGCTAGCCCTCTTCGTGGAGCCAACCAGCATTACACTACAGAGTCAAGGTTGTGGACTGCAAATGCAAGTTCCGAATCTCTGCATCCTAATTTGTTAATGGTATGTACATGGTTTTTTTGATACACTTGTGTTTGATGGGTTTAGGGGTTGTTCTAGTAACTGCTGAATTGCCAACTCAATCGGGCGCAGGATTCAGGGCAACACCTTGCCTCAAATCACAAAAAAACCGTCCTGAGTACCATTTCACCCCTTCATGCTCGCGGCAAGGCCCTTGAATTCGGCATGCGTGCGCTCACACAGTGCTACCCGTAAGAAAACGCATGCAGATGAGTCATGAACAACCAAAAAAACCCGGCAGAATGGCCGCCAGAAGCCACAACTACACCTGAGAAAATGAAGCACCAACGCTGTGGGGTTTGGGCGGTTTTGGGGCTCCAGGTGCGGCATCTGGGAACCCCGAGATGCCGAAAGGACCCTCGGAAACTCTCGCGACTTTTTGGTTCCGGCGGCAGTCAAGCGATGACGGCACGTCTACGTCGAGGGGCACCGGCCAGCACGCCTAATCTCGTGTGCTGGGCCGGCTGCTGGCATCTGCGAAAATGGGGCCGGGCCAATAGGGGTCATTGGGTTCCTTTTGAGGGGTTTAGGGTTTAGGGTTTTTAGGGTTTGGGGTTTAGGGTTCTCTCACAATGGCTCACCTCAGGCTGCATTCAAGATGGTGGCACTTCTCTAACCTATGGTCCCTCTTGGAGCTACTATCATAAGGCGGCCCCTTTTATCCAGGGCACCCAAGAAGGCACCAGAATTTTTGAGGACTCACCATGTAACTACTCTTAGGGTTTAGGGCTAGGGTTTAGGGTTTAGGGTTTAGGGTTTAGGGTTTAGGGTTTAGGGTTTAGGGTTTAGGGTTTAGGGTTTAGGGTTTAGGGTTTAGGGTTTAGGGTAGAGGGTAGAGG